CCCCCCCGCCCCCGCCCTGCCCTGCAAAGGGCCCTGGAACTCTCAGAAATGTGTTTTTTTTTTCTTGGCCTTATTCTTAATCAGGCACATTGGAATCCTGACAAAGAACCACATACATGTAAAGTAGTGAGTGACAGAGGAAGTACCCTGTGGGAATGAATCAGTCGTATTAACATAACTCCCCCGCATGCGGTGGAGTCTGTGCGCATGTTGACACATGTGCATGTGTGTGATCCTGAACATGGTTATGGGCTTCTAACACCGGTAATTGATAATCGTCCTAAACATTCTTCTATACTCCCAACGGGGCTTCTGCAGAATGTTTTCATCACAACATGGGAGGGAAATGCACCCTTTGCCCAGAGCGATTTTGCTTTGAATGTGGGGAAATGAGAAGACTTTTCAGGCTTTGATCTCTGGACCAAATTGCTTTCTGTCTCACTAGGAGGTCACAGACAGGACATGGGAACCAGGCAAAGGATGAGAATCTGCACTGGCCAAACCCAGCCTGGGCCGGCCCTCTCTCTGGCTTTTTTTCATGACAATAATGGAAAGAGAGATAAGGATGTTGTCACTTCAGTTCTGCTTGTGTGTCTTACTGTGTTGGGGGAAAATGTGACAAAAAATTCAGCTAATTCAATTGGAAATTTTCACTTGTGAAGTGGGGATATTAAAAACTATGCTGTAGGATTTGGGGGAGCACTGTTTTTTTTCCTGTATTTTTACTGGTGCTCCCACTTATACATAGTGGTGGGATTTGTGTTACATCTTCCTACCTGCACATGATATGATATAATTATGTAATTTGGCCAGTGTCCCTTCCCAGCACTCCCCCCACCCCCATCCCCTTCTCCAACCCCTTGGTCCCTTTCCTCTACTAACCTTCTTTTGATTTTAATGAGATCCTCCTCCACTTTTCCTTTTTTCTCTTAGCTTCTGCATATGAAAGAGAACACAGGACAATTGACCTTCTGAGATTGGCTTATTTCACTTAACATAATGATCTTTAGTTCCATCCGTTTTCTTGCAAATAATATAATTTTATTCTTCTTTATAGCTGAATAAAACTCCGTTTTGTGTGTTTGTGTGTGTATATATATATATATATATATATATATATATATATATATATATATCGAGGTACACAGGATATGCAGAGAGTTTTGTCTGCATCATCAGAGAAACACAGGCAGAGGGAGCAGGGACCCTTGATTGTGCAGTTCTACTCCCAGCTATACTCCTGAGAAAGCAAAACAGAGGCACACAGAGATCTGCACCCAAGTGTTCAGAGCACCATTATTCATGATAGTCTAAAGTGATACACTAATCAGCAATAAAAAAGGAAAAGTATTAGCCAGGCACCGTGATGCAGGCCTGTGATCTTAGCTACTGGGGAGGTTGAGGCAAAAGGACTGCAAGTTCAAGGCCAGCCTCATCAACTTAGTGAGACCCTGTGTCAAAATAAAATAATAAAATAAAAGGGCAGGGTTGTAGGTTAAGGGTAAAGCTGTTGCCTAGCATGTGTGAGGGTGTGAGGTCCTGGGTTCGACACCCACCACTGTGCAAAAAAAAAAAAAATGAAATGCAGTATTGATATTTGCTACAGTATAAAACAACAACCACACATTGTAATATTGCATGTTGTCTGGAATAGACAATCTGTGTTCTGTAGATCCTCCTGGATCTGTAAGTCCTCGGAGACACAGAGTAGATTGGTGGTTGCTTTGATGGAAGCAGAAGGTGACTGTTCACGGGTTCTGGGTTTCTTCTAAAGGTGACAAAATAGAGCTTAGGGTAGAACATTTGTCTAGCCCTAGGTTCAAGGTCCAGAACTGGAAAAAAGAAAAGTTCTGAGAGTGATTGTGGTGAAGGTTGTACAACTTTCTGAATGTACCCCAAATGTTGAATTTTGTGCTGTGTGTGTGAATCGAACCATGTGTGAATGATGTCTCAGGAAGGCTGGTTTCCTTGAAAAGCCATAGAGAACCGTCTCAGAGCAGCACCTCCACACAGTTCCAGTGTTAACTTATGTAATTGTCGGGACTCAAGGCAGTGGGTACCTTGGCAAGAAGCAAAGCCTGAGTCCAAGCTACTGGCCCCTGCAGTCCCGGAGGAGACTGTCCCAGGTCACAGAGCCAGTCAGTGGTGCAGGTGTGGGTGGACCCAGGGCCTGGCTCTGGCACAGAAAGTCTCTACCCTACGCTGTTGAAGCCCGCAAACTGGTAAAAGCTTCAGTTTCAGATTCAGCTGGCCCTGTTTCTGATCTCACCCTGCTGCCAATAGCCCAGTGATCGGGTGGTTTCTGAGCTGGGCTTCTCACGTGTTCAGGGAGATCATGATCGTGTGTGGCTGGTAGGATTGTGTTTAGCACAGGGACTCTATTAAGCACTCTCGACCCTGAGGTCCTTCTCCTATGCAGCGTTATCACCGGGTTGAGAACTGAGAAGCCTGTACAAACCCAAGTGGCAGACAGCCCAACACTGGCGACTGAAGGGTCAGCTTGTTATTCTGCAAAGGCAGAGGGTGTTTCCCATGTGGCAAGGGCCGAGTCAGCCTGAGGCCTGGCATGCTACCTTTTACATAGTATAACTTAAAGTTAAACTTTTAAATGAGGTTAAAAATATTTGCCACATGCACTAAGCATTTGAAGTGTGGAGGGTTTGCTTTTCATTTCATGAAAATAAGCAAAGCGTGGGTGGAGAAAGAAATGTGTCACTTTCCCAGCGCTGGCCTGCAAGGGCAGAGTGACCTTACACAAGAAGGAAAATGCCAGTAATTTCCAAACTAATCTAATTTTACATTTCTGGGGCTTTTATTTCGTTGTGTAGAGACACACTTTTTTTTTTTTTGGAAGGAAAAAATCCAGCAAGGCTGGTGATAACGAAGTCACACAGCCTTGCTGGCAGGCACCCCACTGCACCGAGAGCTCATTGGGAAGGCAGGGAGCACGGCCCCTGCCCAGGATGCTCCTCTGAGCACAGTTTGTGATCAGCACAGACAGTTTGCTGGGGTATGATTCAGTCTGTTCTTTCACTTCCTGTTACTTTTCTCCTAAGGCCCAGTGAACCTGCTCTGGGATTTCTACAGTGGGAAACACTCCACCATGTGGGGGGTCACCTGTGATTCTCCCACTCCCTCCACAGACAGGCCATGGGTGCCTCTGTTGATTCAGGAGGCTTCCTCCAAAGTACATCTTTAATGTACTTTGGATGGGGGGGACATTCGACCACTGGAGCCATACATATCCCCTTATTTTGTATTTTATTTAGAGACAGGGTCTCACTGAGTTGCTTAGTGTCTCACTTTTGCTGAGGCTGGCTTTGAACTCACAATCCTCCTGCCTCAGCCTCCCGTTTAGCCATTGGGATTATGGGCAGGCACCACTGTGCCTGGCCGTCTTTAACCTTTTTGTTTCTAACTTCTTTTTTTTTTTTCTAAATACATTTTGCTTTATACTTTATTTTTATTTTAAGAGAGAGAGAGAGAATTTTAATATTTATTTTTTAGTTCTCGGCGGACATAACATCTTTGTATGTGGTGCTGAGGATCGAACCCAGGCCGCACGCATGGCAGGCGAGCGCGCTACCGCTTGAGCCACATCCCAAGCCCCTGTTTCTAACTTCTTGACCACCATCAATCCAAGCGACCTCTCTCTCCTGCCAGGAGTATTACAATGGTCTGCTAACGTCCCACTGGGCTTCCTTGAAGCCAATTCTCCACTGGGGAACCAGAGAAATCTTTACTGGAAAGATGAGTCAAGTCAATGTCCTGCCTGGAAGCTATCTTTGATCTGAATATACAATTAGAATATTAAGTAGGTGCGAAACACCATTAATCATTGGGGAAGGTAAAATTAAAGCTATGATGAGATGCTGCTATACACCCACAGAATGGCTAATGTTTAAAAAATCAAAGATGAACAATATCAAAGGTTGGTGAGGATTCGGAGGAACTAGAACTTCCACACGCTGCTACGGAAGGGAATATGTAATGACTTTGGAACGTGTAGAACAATAACCAAGGAGGCTAAAAATATGTCACTGTGTGACTTAGCAGTTCCACTTCTAGGTGCACACCCAGAACAGGGGAGGACTGCGGCCACCAAAAGATGTTCAAGAATTTTTAAATTGGGGATTGGGGGGGTGGTGTAGCTCATCACTGGTGTGTGTGTGTGTGTGTGTGTAGCATATATGAGGCCCTGGGTTCACCACCAGAATAAGTGAGAGAGAGAGGGTGTGGGAGGGAGGAAGGAGATATTCACACTAGCTTTGTCTACAATAGACAAATATTGGCAGCAACCGAGATGTCTATCATAGTATTCATACAACAAAATGTGACAAGCCATAAAAATGAATGGATGACCAGCAGCAGCTGAAACCGCCCTCAAAGATGAGGCAAATAAAAACAGGTCCCAGGGCTGGGGATACAGCTTCCTTGGTATGACAAAGGACCACATAGCAGTTGCCAGGATTTTACCTCCGCTAGGGACTAGAGACAGGCGGTTAGACTGAGAACTAGCAAGAGGAGACTCAGAGGTTTGGAAACATTACCTCTCTTAAACAGGGCTGGGTGGTGGTTTCGTGAGAAGTGTGTGAGTGTGTATGTGTGTGTGTGTGTGTGTGTGGTCATCAAACTGCCACTCACTCCCTATCCATGACCCCATTTTATTTCCTGCATAGCCCTACCCTCATTTGAAGTGATCTCACTTGATCACTTCGTTTCTGACCTCCCCCTTGAGAGCTTGCCTGCTTTACCCACGCTATCCCCAGCACCCAGAATAGGGCAATAGTAGGATTCAGGTATTTATTCTACAGATCAATGTTGTCTTCAAATACTTATTGAATGTGGTGCTTCTGGGAGCTTATAGTATCTTGATATTCTTATTATTATCTCAAATGAAACTAGACCTATTATGGTCATTTTGCACATGTCCTATCTGGCAAATGTATTCGTTAATTTCCTCTCTATATATTTATTAAGCATTCACCACAGGCAAGGTATTAATGTAGCCAATGTTTTCTGGAGGCAGAGTGGGGGAGAATTACAAATAGGAGACAGGGCAGTAATGAGGGTCTGTGTCAGGATGGCCTGGGAGCAGAGGGAAGTTGCTCTCTCGTGTCCTGTGAGAGGAGAGACAATTATGGGTGGAGATGCGTTTGCTGTGGGGAAGTAGAAAACTCTGGGAGTTCTCCTTGATGGCTCCTACTTCCCCTGAAGCAGGAGGCAAGGTTGTGTGCAGACAAGAAGGGAAGGAGTAGGCCAGGGGCTCCAGCAGGTCCTCAGCCACTTCTTCATGCTCCTGGGCACATGTTCTTCAGCAGTGAGTGGCACCTGCTTGGCTTCTCCCCTGCTGAGGAGAGAGATGATGGCAGATGATGAGCCAGGGGTTGGGGGTCTCAGATGTGGATGAAGCATAAGCAGGAAGGTGAAGGCTGTGGGGCTGGAGGATTTTGAGAAAGCAAAGAGTGAATGAAGGACTGTTATAACAGCTGGATCAAGATGGCAGAGTCACTGCAGAGAAACCTCCTTTCCAAGCACAGATCAAAGCATTCTGGGGCTGGGGCTGGGGCTCAGTGGTAGAGAGCTTGCCTGGCACGTGCGAGGTGCTGGGTTTGATCCTCAACACCACATAAAAAAAAATAAAATAAAAGTATTGTGTCCAACTATAACTAATAATAATAATAATAATAAAAAGCATTCTGACCCCAAAGTTAGATAATAACTGCATGGGCCTTGGGGAAAGCGGTGACAGGAGAGAAGTTATGTCATTGTAAGCATCTTGTCCTGGAGAACCACTAAATGATTAGAAGTCAAATGTTAACTCTCAAAGTTGTTGAAAATAAAAAAAAGTAGAGAATTTTAAAAAAATATTTATTTTTAAGTGTAGTTGGACCCAATGCCTTTATTTTATTTATTTATTTTTTATGTGGTGCTGAGAATCGAACCCAGTGCCTCACACATGCTAGGCAAGTGCTCTACCACTGAGCCACAACCCCAGTCCAAAATAGAGAATCTTGAAAACCCAAAAGAAGAGAGAAAGAGGAGGAGGAACAAGAACAACCTTCATAAAAAGAAAATAAAGAGTGACAAACATAAGCTATTAGGTTCTTATTCCCTGTGAAAAATAAATGGATCTTTAAACTGACCCGAGAATTCTTAGATTGACTTTTAAAAATTTCAGTTTCGTGTATTGTTTATGTTACACACCTCAAACAGAATAACACAGATAACAGAGGGATACCAGGAAGTGAGTGACCAAAGAAAGTTGCTTTAGCAATACCAGTATCAGATAAAGGGGGTGTTAATTAAAAGTACTTCTGGAAATGGTTTTCACATAGATACCAAAACACTCATGACGACAGTGTGACAACCATGAATTTGCCCTTAAAAATGGCTTTTGTGGCCACTTGATGCCTCTCTGCTGTTCCCAGTGGTGGAGGCTCTCTTCCAGGATCCCCTGTGCTGGGATTCTCTGGGGGACTGAGCTTCCCCCTAGTAGAGACTGGGAGGTGAAAGCAGATATCACCGGTGGCCAGGCCTCCTGGTAGCAGGAGGGTGGGGGTTGTCTTGGGTGAGGATTGCTGCAGGAGTCTAGAATTCTGTTGTGTTGGAGGGGCTAGTGGCAAGCAGGGTCTGGCAGGTTTTCTGTAGGGTTTTTTTTTTAGTACTGGGGATTGACCCTGGGGTACTTAACCACTGAGCCACACCCCCAGCCCCTCCGCCCACTTTTTTGTGGTGCTGGGGATTGAACCCAGGGCCATGTGCATGTGAGGTAGGCACTCTACCAACTGAGCCATATCCCCAGCCCCCCAGCCCTTTTTTGTGTTTTATTTAGAGACAGGGTCTTACTGAGTTGCTTAGGGCCTTGCTAAGTTGCTGAGGCTGGCTTTGAATTCCAGATCCTCCTGCCTCATCCTCCTGAGCTGCTGGGATTACAGGCAGGCACTACCATGCCTGGCTTTAGGATGTTTCTTCTGGCTACGTTGCTCATAGTTTAGTGTTGCCTTCGCTTGGTAGCTAGCTTCCCACAAGTTCTCTAAGCTGCCCTGAACCCTGTAATAGGTTGTTTCTGCTTAACCCGGAGGGAGTTGTCTCCATCTGATGGGGAATGTGCTGTTCTGGGATCCCAACTGGGTGGGGAGTCCTTGCAGTCCTCCTGCCACAGGTGGTAGGTGCAACATGAACTGAAGCACAAGTTGGAATTAGCCAGGTGCAGCAGGAGGAGTAGGAGAGCTCAGAGAAGAAGGAACAGTGTGTGAAGGGGAGCCAGGACACACAGAACTCCAAGTCAGAATGTCCCTGACACAGGACAATAGTGTGGAAGGATGGCAGAGGCGGTGGCAGCAGTGTCTGGGCCATCATCACACATGGCCTCCCTGCTGCCAGTCTGTGGGATGCAGTGGAAGATTTTGTCTGCTCAACACCTTGGCTGCTTCTCCTCTGACCTTCCCTTCCCTCCCCTACCTTAGTACAATACCTTTCTTTTAGGGAGTCACTTCTTCTATCCCTCCATCCAGTGATTCTGATGAAGCTGCCAATCATAGCATCTTCTCCCTGGTGATGTGGTGGGCTCCTGTCATAGGGCTGACCACTCATGGTAGCCATTCCTATGCCCATGGTGACTCATCTAAGGTGGGCCTGGGAGTGAATGCAGACCTGTCAGAGTGCTTTCTGGGGATTTTTAAACTTAAAACTTGCAGAGTAGGAGGTTCTGGTAGTCACTTTCTTCTCCTACCCCCGTCTCCAAGGAGGGGAAGGAGAATTAAATCAAGTAGAAAAAAGTGCCGAGCAGAGATGGAAGGGGAAGGAAAGAGGCAGAGACAGAAAGAGCAGTGGAGTTCAGCAAGGCCAAGTCAGCACCAGGCCCCATGCCGAGGGCAGCCCTGGTTCCTCAGCTCTGTGTGAGGTCCATCTGGAGGGCCTACTGGCCACCAACTTGACTGCAAGTTGTGGGTCCACGCTTTAGTCGACTTTTCTCCTCTCCTTTCGTTTGTTTTGTCTAGTGTATCACCTTCCATCAAATCTAAGTATCTTTATTGATTTGCCCATGAGGCTATTTCCAACCCGTCAGGCATTATTGGTCAGGACTTGGACAGAAGGAAGTGGGGAGGGAGGTCATGGTCTACACCTGCAGAGGCGGGGAAGATGGCAGATGGCTGTGAACAGGCAGAGAAGTTTACAGAATGCCTAAGGAGGAGCCATTAAGCTCCTTGGCTGGAGCTGAGAGTACCGAGAGTCTCTGCCTCCTCCAGTGCTGACGGAAGGGCACAGAGAAGGAGAAGAGGGTGCTAATGCATGTTCCACGTATGGCTGAAAACAGGGAGGAGGCTGCCGTGGACAAAATCAGGGGCAGCCACATGGACACTGGAGTCCTAGCACACACTGCTCTCAGAGCTCACACTAGAAGTGCTGGGAAGAATTGTCATCCCTACTGTCACCTAAACCAACCTCAAGACCTCAGCAGGAAGGAAGCACAGATGGCATTTGAATGAGTTCAAGGGGGATTGGAGAAAACAAAGAGCCGCTGAGCAGGCAGACAGGCAGAACTGTTTACAGCTGTCAATTAACAAAAAAGAAAAATTGTTTTTTAGTTGTAGATGGACACAATATCTTTATTTATTTATTTTATGTGGTGCTGAGGATTGAACCCAGGGCCCCACACACGTGAGACAGGTGCTCTACTACTGAGCTACAGCCCCAGCCCCACAGCTGTCAATTTTTAAATGCACACACTTGAGTGCAGTGTGTATGATGGTGTATGGGGGTCAGGATTGCTTCTTCCCCTCCTCTTTCTGAGTAGGGATTTTCCTGGTCAATTGGATGCATGTTTAGGAAAGAAACAAGAGTGAAGCCTCATCTTTCAGTGGATTATAGGAAATGCAATAAATCCCATGATATGAGACTAGAAGAAAAATAATGTGACAGTGTAATTAGATATCAGTACGAGGAGGTAAAATGGGGTAGAGGGTGCTTTCTAAAGTATTGGAAGAAATAAAAAAAAAAAGATTCATGCACTTGACCATACAAGTGCTACAAATGACTACAGATGTTTACTCCAATAAACTTAGAAAATTTTTGCATCAATGGGAAACACACTGGGTTATTATGTAAAATGCTCATGTGGGTAAATTCAAGCCAGCAGAATATGATTTCTGAGCACCTACTCCAGCTATATATTGGATATTTTGCAAACATTCTCTTTAAAAAAAAGGCTACAAAGTTGGGCTGGGGATATAGCTCAGTTGGTAGAGTGCTTGCCTTGCATGTTGTTAAGGCCCTGAGTTCAATCCCCAGCACCACCAAAAAAAAGCTACAAAGTGGACGTCTCTAACTGACCTTGAACTCATGGCAGGTGGGCCTTTTCCTTAGTGTCCAGTTCTATGGAGACTGGGTGAGACTGGGTGCTCCATCACTAACCATCATAGTCCCATCAAGGTCTTGTGGGTACAAAGTGCGGCTCTTCTGCCTCAACACAGCAAGTGAACCCAGCGCATGTCTCAGGCATTATTGAGGGGGCACCCAAAAATTGAGAAAAAGTTGTTTAATCAAATGTGAAATTTAATAACCAAAAAAATAAAAGCATTAATCATGGGTAACATCCAATATTAGCCTTCCTCACAACATAGTTTTAGCTGGGAGTTGCTTATTTTGCCATATTTATTTTGTGAAGGGCTGGAGGCCATCACATTCTCATTGCTGAAGGCCTCTAAGAGTCTCCCTCCAGCCCATGGAGCCAGGGTTCAGCCCCCACCCAACCCAAAAGCCTGTGCTGATAGCCGACCACGGTCATCTAATTTATTTATTTATTTATTTATTTTAAATATTTATTTATTTATTTTAGTTCTCGGAGGATACAACATCTTTGTTTGAATGTGGTGCTGAGGATTGAACCCGGGCCGCACGCATGCCAGGCGAGGGCGCTACCACTTGAGCCACATCCCCAGCCCCACGGTCATCTAATTTAGAAAGCAGTTTTACAAATTAAATCAATAGCCTCAGAATCTTTTCTTAATCTATTAAATCAAATATTGCAAAAATTTGTAAAAGCTTAAGAATAAAGGCATTAAAGTTAAACATTTGTATTAATTTCTACTTTTTTACTTCAAAAGTAAAAAAGTAGAAATTAATACAAATGTTTAACTCGGGGACCTTTCTAATTACATTATATAACGCAACCACTACCAACAGTCTTTATGAAAACATTTTCATGAAGTGGAAAACTGATTTTATTATGCAATGCCAATGAAAAAAACTGACATATAAAATCATTTATAAAAAGTTGTCAGCTGGGTGCAGTGGTGCACACCTGTAATCGCAGCAGTTCTGGAGGCTGAGACAGAAGGATCCCAGTTTCAAAGGCAGCCTCAGCAACTTAGCGAGGCCCTAAGCAACTCAGCGAGACCCTCTCAAAATAAAATATAAAAAAGGTCTGGGGATGTGGCTCAGTGGTTCAATCCTTGGTACAAAAAAAAAAAAGTCAGAAAAAAAAGTAGTCTGAGCTGTGAAAAAGTAAAATTTTAAGTGTGTGCAAGAAGTGCAGAAAAGAGACACTTTAAAACATTTATAGGGACTGGATCTTGATATAATGATTATATCCATTCTGAATTGACTCTGTGCTTTCATTCCAAGTCAGTGTAAGTACTTTTTCCCTTCTCCACCTGGGCTCTAGCTCAGTTTTACCCCCAGTAAACCTCAGTTATTGATTTTCTTCAACTTCTTTCATATTTGGTAACTAAGGTGTTCTCTAATAGTAGTATTTTTAGGGTAGAAATAATCCTAAAAAATCTTTATTTTGCGGGGGGGGGTAGTACCAGGGATTGAACCCAGAGGTCCTTGGCCACTGAACCACAACCCCAGACCTATATTGTATTTTATTTAGAAATAGGGTCTCACTGAGTTGCTTAGCATCTCCTCATTGCTGAGGCTGGCTTTGAATTCGAGATCCTCTTGTCTCAGCCTCTGGAGCTGCTGGGATTACAGGCATGCACCACTGTACCTTAAAATCTTTACTTTTAAAAAGATGTAAAAGTCTTGGAAGAGCCTTAAGATAATGAGATTACTGGAAGGTGGACCGAATTCCACATGGAGATACCTGTACTCTGGAGAGCTCAGAGCAGGGGCTTGGGAGAATACCCCTGCCTGGCCTGGACCAGGCAGGGCCTCCAGCATCACCTGGCTCAGACCTCTGCCTGCTGGGAGCCCATGTGATTCAATCCTTGATTTAGGGTGCAGGGCATGGTAGACTATTCAGAGTTTACAAGCTCTGGGTAGATTACTACACCTAGAAATATCAATGTGGGTGCAGGACTCTTTGAAGCTTTAAGGAGCTAAATAGCTAAAGAAAATACTGTAATGGAGTGAATCAATGAAGTTCATTACCATAACATTGAAACTCACTCCCTACCTCAAAATGCTCTTGGTGTCCCTATTGCTGAGTGGTCTCTCCTCCAGCTCCTCCAGACCTCTCTAGCTGCTCCTGCCTGCTTTACGGCCCTTCACTCTTCACTGCTCCAAGATACCCATGTTCACCTGGTCCGCTCAGGCCCTCTGCTCTTTTCTCTACACCCCTCCCTGGGCAATCTCACCTCCTCTATTAGTTCCTGCTATCTTTTTGTTAGAGTTTGGATTGGGAATCTCCCCCAAAGGCTCATGTGTTGATGGGTTGGTCCACAGCAGGTGACACTAATATTAAGGAGGTGGTAGAAGATTTAGGAGATGGGGCCTGGTTGGAAGAGGTAGGTCACTGGGGGTATGTCTTTGAAGGGTAGATTTTGTCCCTTGAAACTTTTCTCTCTCTCTCTGCTTCCTGGATGCCATGAGCTGAGTAACTTTCCTATGCTCTGTCTGAGGAAAGTCATGAGAGTCTGACTCATTCAGGCCCAGAGCAGTAGAGTTGCCTGACCATGGACTGGATCCTCTGAAACCATGAGCCAAAAACAAATCTTTCTTCCTTCAAGCTGAATTTCTCAGGTATTCTGTTACAGCAACAGAAAGCTGACTAACACAACTCCATACCCTAATCACTCTCTAATAGCCCCTAGGATGACTTAGAAATAAGACTTTTCATTAGCCTTCATTTTTGAATAGCAGATGGTTCTTAGAAACGTTTATCAAGGGAAATGCATTTTAAATGAAGAGCTACTCTTTGATTACCTTTTCTACCAGCTTGTCTGAAAGCTCAAATTTCTATATAACAATGCACAAACCGTCTCCTACTTTTCCTGTGCTTCCTCTGAAGGCATCTCCCCACAGTGTGAGTAGTGGTCATGGCAACATAGTGCTTCAGAAGTACGTGGACAAATATCACGACTCAAGAGACACTTGGGGGTACTATCACGCCATGGCCTGCCAGCTGGCACTCCCTCACAGGTGAAAGGGGATGACTTGGTAGCTCACGTTCCCTACCCAAACACTCTGCCTTTCCTTGCAAGTGGTCGGGGTCACTGTGGTTCTCACCTCTTGACCTGAGGTGGAGGCCTGCTGTGCCCATCGCCTCGGATCTGTTATACCAGCTACTTCTCCTTCCTCTTTGCCTCTCTGAGTCTCTCTTGGCTCTTTCAGGGAATTCTTTGTCAGCTGCATAGACCGCCAATCATTTCTGCTTAATAGATACACATGAGTGTCAGCTGTGTGAGAAAAGCCGTGCCGAGGCACTGAGGAGAGGGGGATAAGGGGATGGGATTTTCAGAAGTCATTCTGTCCCCTTCGCCTGGTTTCCTGGCCTGGCCGGAGCTGTCAGCCTCTGTTCCCAAACACGATTTCTCTGTGTCTGGAGTTCAGGGTCAAAATCAGACGCTGGTGAGTTTGTTCCTTTTTTTTGGTACCGAGGATTGAACTCAGGGGCGCTCAGCCACTAACCCACATCCCCAGCCCTTTTTGTATTTTATTTAGAGACAGGGTCTCACTGAGTTGCTTAGGGCCTTGCTAAATTGATGAAGCTGGTTTTGAACTCCAGATCATCCTGCCTTAGCCTCCTGAGCTGCTGGGATTACAGGCGTGTGCCACCATACTCAGATGTGAGTTTGTTCTTGATCCCAACCTTTATTGCAACTTTGATTCATTGGTACAAAATTGGGTTTAAAAAACCTGAATTCAAGCCGCATGCAGTGGTGCACACCTGTAATCCCAGTGGCTCAGGAGGCTGAGGCAGGAGGATCAGGAGTTCAAAACTAGTCTCAGCAATGGTGAGGCACTGAGCAACTCAGTGAGACCCTGTCTCTAAATAAAATACAAAACAGGGCTGGGGATGTGGCTCAGTGGTTGAGTGACCCTGAGTTCAGTCCCTAGTACAAAAACAAAAACAAAAACAAAACTAAAACCCAAACCCTGAATTCAAAATGAAACGTTCCAAATGCTCCCCAGCCACTCCAGCCTCTTTGAAATCTTCTTTCTTAGATTAAACACTGCCTCTCCATCTAGCAACCTTCTCAGGCAGTAACCCATATATATCATCACTTCCCATTGACAGTTGACTTTTTGTGGAGCTAAGTGGAAAAGATTGAGACACCCCAAGATCGTAACCAGCCTATTGTTATTGTTCCCTCTTTCACAGCAAGTAAGAAAGCCTGACGATAATTCTTCATTATTATCAAATACTGGCATTGCTTTTAGCCTTCAGATGTAATTTTTTGCTTCAAGTTGCAAGCAAAGGGATGCAGACATTATTTTGCATTCATTAAAACTAGCTTTGTGTTTTCCTCATGAATTTACCACTTGGTACCACATGAAAGCTCCTCGTGAATACTCAATGCACGGAGCCAATGTCGTCCATTTAAGAGCAGGAAGGGTTCCATGGGGTATAGACCCAGCTAATGAGGAGCTGTGAACGGCACCCACTCCCCGCCACAGCAGCACCATCTGCAGTGAGAGGCTGGAGCCCCTCCAAGTGCTCACCCTCTCCTTTAGAACTTGAATGGGCCTGCCTTGGAAAGCATGCGCTTCCAGATGCAAAGGGTTGGGCACACACACACGCCAACAGCTCCTGTGCATGCAAAATGTGCAGATGGCCAAAGGAAAAGGAGCCAGGACTGGTACTCAGACCATTCGCCCTGAGAACTCCTAAAAGCCACAGAGAGATCCTATGGAAAAAACAGCCTCTCTCAGAACTGGTCACTGGAACTTCAGAAACTGTGGTTTAGTAAAAGTCAAGAAAAACTGCTTGTAGAACTTCAATTTGGGGGAAAAAAAAAAGACTCCTTTTGAAAACAAACATCTGAAAGGAAACACTTTTAGCCAGCAGTCTCATCACCAGGATCGTTTTTTTTTTTTTTTCTGTAAGTCTCCCACCACATACGGACCACGTTGCTCCTGACTGATGTGGTACCAGAGAGCTGAAGGATGGGCCTCCTTAAATTGATGAACAGCTGCCTGATTCTTTTTAGGAAGGGAAAATAAGTAGAGTTTAAGGGTAAGCACTGTGCAGTAAGTTCGAACACATTTTCAGATATTTAGTATGCTCGTGGTACCTACAGATACAGAGATTTGTAATAGGTATCACCAGACCTTTTCATTAAGACCATTTATTTCAGTCTACCTTACAGAATTAAAGTGCTCAGATTTTCAGACCATATTTAGGTCTGAGAGCAACCAGATTCAGAATCCGCCTTGGCCACGTGAAGGTGCAGGAGAGAGCTAGTTAAGCCACTTGACTCACATCCTGGGGTATCAACTGCACAGCGAAGGAAGGCCTAGCTTTAGTCACAGTGTGGAATTTGAGGGTGCTGCTCAGGAGGTCGCTGGAGATGGGGTGCCCCTAAAGTTGAAAGGTGCCTCTTTAGGCGTTTGGATAGCCATAAAACCAAGAGCACTGAGGAGACTGCTTAAGGAGGATGCATAGAGAGAAGGCTGAGGGTGGTCAGCAGGGTCAGTGCTGCCAAGTCAAGTCAGGTAATGAGCAAGGCGCGGTGGCACATGCCTGTAATCCCAGTGGCTGGGACGGGGGTGGCAGAAGCAGGAGGATCCAGAGTTCAAAATCAGCCTCAGGAACTTAGCGAGGCCCTGAGCAACTCAGCAAGACCCTGTCTCTAAATAAAATACAAAATAGGGCTGGGGATATGGCTCAGTGCTTAAGTGTCCCTGGGTTCAATCCCTGGGGGAGGAGGGGATCAGGTAATCTTAAAAGGGGGACTTCCATTGAAAACCTCTGGGATGTTGAGGCAGTGGGAGGTGGTAGGGCATGGAGGGCTGAGGAGCCAGCGCACTCCAGAGGCAGAGGGGCAGAGCAGTGGGAAAGAAGTCAGCCGGTCAAGTCTGACCCTGAGGGAGGACAGGTGGGGTAGCTAAAGGGACGGTTAATTTAGACCATCGTTTCTTAATGCTGGCTGCAGTTAGAATCACCTGGGGAGCATGAAAAATTTTTTGGCACCCAGGCCCTCCCCATGGCAATTGTGACTTAGCTGTTATGAGGTACAGTGTGGGCTCTATAACATGTTTAAACTCTCCCAGGTGGTCTTAATGAGAAGCCAGAGCTGGGAACAACTGGGAAAGAAAAATAATTTCTTTTAAAGCTGAGAGTGAACGAGGCATGACTAAATGTGAAGAGTGAGCCGTGGAGAAGGGCTGCTGGGGACACACAGAGGCCGAGGCCAAGGTAAGTGACTGGCTGGCTCCTGGGGGAGGCCGGGCTCCAGTCCCACCTCAGGAGAAGACCTGTGGTGGGAGAAGGGGGGTGGGGTGTGGGGCCCAGGGCTCAGGGTCTGCTGCTGGGAAGGCAGGGCCCCCTTGTTCCCTATAAATCAGCCAGAGCAAGGGGGAGAGGACGCCAATGAGAGTGCTTGGAGCGAGGAGGACAGAGCCTAGTGGCTCCCGCAGAACAGTGAGGAAAAGCAGCTCTTGGGCAGCACCAAGTTTACATTTCCACATCCTGTTGTTAGGAGAATTCAAAGCTGAAACAGTTAAGACCATGGGAAGCGTTAGGCTTGATTGGATGGGCGGGGGGGGGGTGGGCAGCAAATAAACCTATGAAATCTCTGTAAATAGTTTTTCTGTCTGTTCTGGGTTCTGACCCCAGGGCACTGTACCACATTTAGGTCTGAGGGCATCCAGATTCAGAATCAGCCTTGGCCATGTGAAGGCGCAGGAGAGAGCTAGTTAAGCCACTTGACTCGCATCCTGGGGTATCAACTGCACAGTGAAGAAAGACCTGGCTTCAGTCACAGCGTGGAATTTGAGGATGCTTCTCAGGAGGCCGCTGGAGATGGGGTGCCCCTAAAGTTGAAAGGTGCCTCTTTAGGCGTTTGGATAGCAATAAAACCCAGGGCACTGAGGAGACTGCTTAAGGAGGATGCACAGAGAGAAGGGTGAGGGTGGTCAGCAGGGTCTGACTGTACCACTGAGCCTCATCCCCAACCCCCCCCCCCCCTTTTTTTTTAATATGAGACAGGGTCTCACTGTGTTGCTGAGGCTGGCCTGGAATGTGCTATCCTCCTGCCTTGGCTCCTGAGTCATTGGATGATAGGCAAGGGCCACCACACCCTAATAGTTATATTCTGTAACTAAAAGACAAAAACAAAAATGAACAAAACCCATTACCGGTTGAACACTTTGGAGTCCCTAATAAAGAGAATACCATTCTACATATTTAAATGAGTAAAAAAGAATTCACATTTGTATTATATTTGCTTCCTAAAAACATCACAGGACCTTCCTCCCAGGGTTTGCAGGGAGATGCTTACAAAACTTCTTACAGACTGATTTCTACACTGCCCACAGCGGCCTGGCCGATACACACAACCTACCTGGCTTTTAAACCAGGTAACCGGTGTTTGTGTGGATGCCATCTGGCCATTATGTAGTGGTGGGAAGAGCAGGTCTGAGAGAGTCCTCTGACCTGGCTGGGTGGTGCTGCAGGGACCCTTGTCAGCCCTGCAGGAGCAGGGGTCTCTGGGGAAAGGCTCTGCGGGGACTGTGGCTTCACAGCTCTCTCCCACCACACTCCCTAGAGGCTTCGGTAGTGACCAAAGACTCGCTGTCATGAGCCCAGCAGGGAAAAGGTCCTGTCTGGTCCAGGCAGCAAGTTCATGGCCGGAAGCCAAGGTGTGAAGCCACTAAGGAGACCTGCCTGTGACCTGCCTCCACTCTTTGTGGCTCTTACTTGGTAGCACTGCCTCAGGAATTTCCTAAACTCCTGCCCTCACAACTGCTTGTCCTTTGTGGGGTGGGTGGATCTTGGTGAGAGGACACCTCTTTTTCCTTGAAGCTAGTATCCCCAGGCGGCCTTCCTTCTCACCACAGTGGTCCTCCAGGTGTCTTCTCCTTTTTCCCTCAGACACAGTGAAGTAAGTGGAGTACATACCTTAAACCTTAAGCTAAAGTACTTCTTGGCCTAAAGAACTTCAAGCATTTCGATTAAAAAAAAAAAAAAAAAAGCATGCTTTGCTCTTTAGAGGCAGAGAGCTCCCTAGGATGCTGCTGCCCTGGCCACACAGGCCAAGCTCTGCCAGAGGAAGGCTGCTATTCCCTCCTGTGCTTTTCTCTGAGCCAATTTTTAAATGCTCAGCAGATGAAAACTCACCTTCTTGGGGAGGACGCGGAAACAGTCTGTATAATAAACTGAAGAAGCAAGAGTGTTACGGGCACCACATTCTCAATACGTTTGCCAGTTTGATGAATGAATGAAGATAAGCAGATTTCTTTAATAATTGAAATAAAATTCTCCTCCCACTAACTGTCATCTTTTTTCTGCCTTCACTAGAATTGCACCAGTATGTATATTGCAGAGCTAGGTGCAAAGGCCTGGATCAAAACCCTGGAGCCCACAGGGACTAGCAAAGCAAGGCCTTCACTTCCTCATGAGCTCTCATCACAGATGTGGTGAGGTGAGGAAAGAGGCTTACAGAGCAAAGACCAAAAGAATCGACCTCCACATGGTGCGTCAGTCCAATCCTACCATGGAAGTGTCCTCAGCATTTAGATGGCTGGTGCTCCCGAGAGGGCGATGGGTAGTGAGTGCATGCTGCAGGTCCTGACTTAACACAGTGAGCTCCTCTTTCCAAGCAGAATATGATGGGTTCATGTCTCCTGCATAACCAGCACGTTAGCTTCACACTAGAGGTTCTAAACATAGAAGTTAATTAGTGAGATCAAAATAAAGACACATAAACTCAATTTACCTTTTTCTTGCCCAGCTCAGAGACGGCCCTTCCCAGCTCCTGCTTCAAGCCACCTGATGTGGTAGGGAGGTTTACACAAGAGACCAGCAGGAGAGAGGAAGAGCACGCCAGAGAGTGGGCTTTTATTGGGGAACAAGAAATTCAGGGGAAAATTCCATCCAATGAATGTCGAGGGGGACAGCATTCCAAGGTCAGGGTCAGTGATTGGTTTCAGGGTCAATGGTCAGTCACACCCCAACACGGACGGGCTCTCGCACCTAAAAAGGGTGGGGATAAGCTCTGACACAGCTGGCTGAAGCGCCTCACACCCATTCAGGGAGGTACCCAATCACATGTGAGAAGGGCTTCCCACATTCATGTCTGGTACTTTTAAACATTGATTCAGGTTGCATGTGGGCCCATCTCTGTACAGAGCCACATTGAAAAGAAAATCTGGCCGGGCATGGTGGTGCACAACTGTAATTCCAGTGGCTCAGGAGGTTGAGACAGGAGGATTGCAAGTTCAAAGCCAGCCTCAGCAATGGCGAGGCACCAAGTAATTTAGTGAGACCTTGTCTCTAAATAAAATACAAAATAGGGCTGGGGATGTGACTCAGTGGTTGAGTTCAATCCCTGGTTACTTGCCCCCCCCCAAAAAAGAAAGATAATCTGTCTTTGAAGCCTTGAAGATTAATGCATACCTTTGTCTTGAAGAAACAAATTGGATATATGGCACCTTACAGATCCCAGAGATCCTCTTTGCTTAGAATTCTGTTCTGCACCTTGCCATTCATGGCCCCTTCCAAAGCTCTCCTACTTCCTCTGGTCCACGCAGTGGTGGTCTCTTTGCTTCCTCTGCTGTGCTTCTTCCACTGAGGGTCCCTGCCACAGCTCCTGCCCCCGCTTGCCAGTTCCACCAGGCTGCTCCGGGACAGCTCCTCACCCTGGCTTCCCACAGAGCAGTGTGTACAGGGCTCTTGGAAGTGTGCCTCTCCTTGGACTCTGGTGTAAAAGACTGCGGGACATTTCTGGTGAGTTGAATTCTCCACCCTGTTTTGCAAGCGTTCCTGGGTGGAGAAATTTCTCTCTGGGGATAGCTTGGGCAGTCAGAGAAGTGAGGGTGAGGGACAAAGCAGGCTTGCTTTCCTATGGGTCAGCTCACTAGGGACAGCTGTGGAGATTAAAATGGGGACCCCAGATGCAACCTGTTGGTTGCAAACTAAGCAAATGCTTTTCCCCATGAGGCTGGTGGTACAGGCTTCAAGTTTCAGTTAGCTCTCCCAGGCTTCCCAGGGTCCCCATTCTGATCGTCTGGGGCCCTACAGAATGTAATCACTTCCTCTCACCTGAAACCCCGCGCCAGCCTGTGAGGCTATCTCCTGAGGATATTCATGTTCTTCGGCCTGGTATCTCCACTCCCAGGAATCCAGCCAAAGAGATAATCAGAGATGTGGACAAGTATTTATGCAAATATTGCACTGGTATAACAGCGAAGAAGTGGGTGTAGCCTAAGTATCACCAAATCAAGAAATGGTTAAACATGTTTGATTAAAGTTATCTGACAGCATGTTGTACATCTGCTAGAATGTGGGTAGCAAAGCATATTTAATGACATAAAATGTTTTTGGTTTAGTGTTAAATAAAAATCACAAGTGAAAAAAATTTGAGGGGGTCCTGGAGATTGAACCCAGGAGTGCTTTACCACTGAGCTACATTCTCAGCCCTTTTATTTATTTTTTTTTATTTTGAGACAAGGTCTTGCTAAGTTGCTGAGAGTGTCTTAAAACTTGCAATCCTCTTGTCTAGGTCTCCCTTGTCACTAGGATGACAAGCTTGTATCACTGCACCCAGCAAATAAATATAGAAATCCTTTGTTTCTTTTAATTTTTTATGGCACTGGGGTCTCCTACATGCTAGGCAAGTGCTCTACCATTGAATCACATTGCCAGCCTGAAAAGTTTTAAGGAATGGTAATTTGTATAAATATACGTGTGTGTATGTATTCAGAAATGTATGCACATTTGCTTAACCCTCAACAGTAGAAATATGTCTATTTATGTTTCTGCACTTTCTCATGAATATGTTTGTTTTGTAATTCATAAATGAATAAATATCATTGTAAAATAAATGGGGGAAAAAAGGTGTTTTTTAGCAGAGGAATTGGTGATGAAGAAAGCTGAAGGTAACTGGAATGGTGAAGTGAACCAAGGTGAGCCTAGGCACAGCCCCCTGAGAACCACATCTCTTCTGGTCTCTGGGTCCTGGTCCTGGGCCTGGGCCTGGTGAGTGTGTGAGCGAGTGCACCTGGTCACCCTGCCCTGCTCCTTCCCCTCTAGGATCCTGCTGCCTGTGGTAAGGTAACCTGGGACCTGGCACCTGTTTGTGGGCATTTCCTGGCCTGCAGTACCCCCCATTCCTGCTGTGCAGTTGAGGGAGCTGACCTCTCTCACCCTACTACTTGTGGCCTCCACGTGCCAGCTTTGCCTGTCAGACACTCTGTCCCCCAACCAACCACAGTGATTGGTTCTGCCTGATCAGCAGAGTCCTCACTGGTCATTATCTTCTGGAGTGACCAGGAGAAATGCCATCTCTGTCACTGGGATCAGAGATGCACAGATGACCCAGCATCCTTTCAGGAAAGCACCAGCAGTGTCCACATTGGAGAGAATGATGCCAACAGGGAAGGAGACCAGGCGAGAGGACCAGAAGTCCAAAGGCAGACTGGAGCCCCTGGGCTCCCCAGTTTGGAGCTGCTTTGTATTTATCCCAGCTAATGCCTCTGCCCCCATCTCCCCCCTGCCTTCTTATCTGTTTTAAATTTTTTTCCTGTCCATTTTTTTCTTAAGCGTGTTCAGGCAGGACTGGTAACCCTGGGAGTTCTGACTCAGGCTTTTCTCTCCACTGGATTTTGTGGCCTGGTTATTAAAAGGAACCACTTGGCTCTTCTAGGTCAAGTGAGGCTGGCCTCCCTAGAGACATTCATGACTTGGGGACATTACCTCAATTGCACTTTTCCCTCCGCATCTGACCATTTTCTGCCCTTATCGGCTGGGGACTTCTCTCCTCCCTGCCAGTAAGGAAGTGAGATCAGAAATGCATCACTCGATATTTGCAGGCACTAAAAATTATATTTTGAAAGCGTTTTAAATGACATGGGAAAATAGTTATAATATATGACCTCAATTATTTTAAGCGTATAGTACCTAATCATGGAAAAATATTAGGAGATATATCAAAATATTCAGTGGTTATATGTGAATGATAAGATTATGGATGATTTATATATCACAGTCTCTCATGTTATAAATGGACATAATTATTTTGTGATTAGAAAATAAGAGTTATTAAATACATAAATTATACATTCATCTAAAAGGCCATTTTGTAGTCACTTAAAAGAATGTTTTAGAGACATTTTTATTGACAATGAAAAATGCTCATAATAGAAATATTGGAAAAGTAGTCAAAACTCAATATACCATGGATTATAGATGTACAAATAGATATATGGGAGTAACTACAGAAATTATTTCAAAATATTAATAAAAGCTCTCTCTGGGTTGTGAGATCACAGTTAATTTTTCTTTTCTTCTTTGTATGTGTTTGTGTTTTCCATATTTCAGGATCAGAATTCTTTTACAGTCATAATTGTTTAGAATTCTCCAGGGAGGCAGAACCAGCAGTTTGCAGACACATGCAGATTAATGAATTAATGCAGGAGCTACCTCATGTGATTATGGAGGCTGAGAAGTCCCACAGTCTGCTGTCTGCCAGGAAAGCTGGTGGTGTGGCTCCAATCCTAGCCCAGAGATCTGTGACCCAGGGGAGCCACAGTGGCATCAGGAGTGCCAGCATCTGAAGGCAGGAGAAGATGGGTGTCCCAGCTCCTGAAGAAAGCAAATTTGCCCTTCCCCTGCCTTTTTGTTCTATTAGGGCCCTCAAGAGATTGGATGATGCCCACTGGCATTGCTAAGGGAGGACCTTCTTTACTCAATCCATTGATTCAAATGTCTCTTCCAGAAGCACCCTGACAGACACACTGAGAAATGATGTTTCACCAGCTATCTGGGCACTCCTAGTCCAGTCAAATTGACACATGAGGTCAAACATCACAATAACAAGATAACTTTGGAGAACAGACAAAGCTCCTTCTGCTTTCCTTCATTTTGATACAGGGTGTTGGGCTTCTTTCCTACTTCCCTCAGGAGCCAAAATCTCCTCTGTCTTTGCTGAAGAAAGGAGTGGATGGAGGCCCCTATGCTGGGCAGAGGCTGCCACCTATTAAACTTCATCAGGGAGGACATCTTCCTGCAGCCAAGCTTCCCCTGCCTTTTCTCCCAATTGGGCTGCATGCATGCACACCACACATGCCCACACACAATTTGTTTATCTACAAATAATTGAAGCAGAATTTCTCAGGAGGAAGAACTAAGCCTGGGAAGGTAGCAAAATTAAAAAAAAATATTTATGCAACATATTGTGAATGTATGCTATGTGTCTTGCACTTTGCTAAATATTTTGCATACATTTTCTTATTTAATCTTTATAGCATCTCTATAAAGTAGGCTCCTGTGACTTATATAGGTTAGCAAAATGGAGTCTTTAGATGAAGCATGTCTCCAACTTCATACAACTAGTACCTGGAATTTGAGTCAAAGCAGCCTTATCTGAAAGGCAGATTTATCTGAAAAAGTTATCTTGGTTTTGCCCATACTTTAATCAGTATGTATATAACACACTGTGCTTTTTCATTAACTCCTATACTTGCTTGCTTACTTTTTGCCAAGGGGTGGATACCAGGGATTGAACTCAGGGCACTTGACCACTGAGCCACATCCCCAGCCCTGCTTTATATTTTATTTAGAGATAGGGTGTTACTGAGTTGCTCAACAGCCTTGATTTTGCTGAGGCTAGCTTTGAACTTGCGATCTGCCTGCCTCAGCCTCCCGTGCTTTCTTACTTGAGCACTGGTGAAACTCTCCTGCAAGGGGTGGTCAGGGGAAAAGTGTTCATTCTATTTCCTTGTTCATTATATGACTCTGCACCATTTCTTGATGTTCATCAGTGTAACATTCATGGTTGATGCACAACAGAATGAAGATTTCTTTGGACCAAGAATTATAAAAAGTGATGGTAGAAAAGGATGGACTTCCATGTAAGTGATTGGAGCTTGGACTTTATCCAGTGTAGTGTGTAGTTTCAATAACTCTGCTCCTACCAGCCACTGCATGGATCTATGCACTGTGTATCCCCTAATTTAATGTGTTTGCTGTAAAAACTCTGCATCTGTTTTCCTGTTTCTTTTATTTTGTTCTTTGTGACAAGGTGTTTATAGAGCATCTTCACTTTTGCTGGTTAGGAGGCGATGTTGAGTTTAAGATTTATCTGAAAAAGTTATCTCAGTTTTGCCATAATTATTGCCAGGGTGGTACTACTTTTTGAGGTCTCTGATGGAAGTCACCATGATCTTGCCTCTTGACTACTTCATATGTGCCCAAGTGGCAAATCTATCCTAAGCATCAGGGAGTGGCAGTGGGTTCAGCAGGGGCCAGAAGAGTAGCCAGGGGAAAAGCAGGAGAACCAGGGCTCCCTGTTACCTTGGAGACAAGAGAAGAAAAACTGCTGGGGACCAAGTGTTGGCTGGAGCCAGGTACTGAGGACAGGCGAGATGGTTGCAAACTGAGGGAAGGAGGCTGACTGTGGCAATTTATGGGGCCATACCTGGAATAGATACAGAGGAGAGGCGGGAGTGGAACTCCAGTTGGCAGGGCGAGGGGTGAGCAGGAAGGAGCCTGAGCTGTTTCTTCTTTCCTTCACAGTGAAGGGCTGGTAGAGTTAACTATGCAGTAGTGCCGAGGGAAAGCGTGCACAGGTGCTTGTGTGTTTGTGGATGAGTGTGTGCAGGAAATGAGAAAGCTGAGTGGGTGAGCAAGTGGAGCAGGGTTAGGGCACACAGGGCTTGTCTCATTTAATGCTCCCAGTTACCTCATGGACCTTGGAAGGAAAATAAGG